GAGGCCGTCTACGAACTCTCTGCTCGTCCTGTTCCGGCCAAGGCCTCCTCGCCGATGAACTCTGTCTGTTCTGTCCCGGCCAAGGAGGCCGCCTATGAACTCTCGGTCTGTCTTGTTCCGGCCAAGGAGGCCTTCAGTGAACAATCTGCCTGTTCTGTTCCGGCCAAGGAGGTCATCTGGGAACTCTTTGTCTGTCCTGTCACGGCTATGGAGGCCGTCTGGGAATCCTCATCCTGTCCTGTCACGGTTATGGAGGCCGTTTGTGAACTTTTGTCTTGTCCTGACCCAGCCAGGGAGGCTGCCCCTGAACGCTCAGTCTTGTCTATCAACCCCAATGTTCTGTCTGTGTTGTCTGTCTCTGCTCTCTCGTTGTTACAGTCTCCGCCATGGTCTCTACTGTCTGGTTCTGGTGGTCCTCTGTAACGTCTGTCATGAATTCGGTTCATGGACTTCCGTTAATTCACCACCAGATGTCACCCTTTCCATTACATTGACTCTCGCACTACACAAACTGTTGCATAGCACCCCGGACTACATTTCCCATCATTCTTTGCACACTGCCCTGATTGCACTCATTGCACACAGCTGTTTCTAATTACCTCATTCTCTATATAACACCCACTCTAACCACATTTCTCTGAGTATTGTTTAGCCTGTACCCCTTTCCGAGTCTCCGTGTTTGCCTTGCCTGGCCTGTTTTTGATCTTTGCCTGTTTTCCTGGTTTTCTCCCTCTCGTCTCGCCCCTGTGATTCTGTCTGCCGATCGGTGACCTACGCTAGCCCTAGGACTATTCTTGTGTTTTGCCCGCCATATACCTGTTTTACCACGTCTCTCTATTAATAAAAGCTTGCAGATGGATCCACACGTCTCACGTCTCGTCAGCCCCGTTACAGAGTGTAACAAGGACACCTTAAAATAAAATGTTACCCAATGATGTTTTACAGTGCATTTTCTACAAGAAGTGTTAGATATTTAACATTTATAGCTTAATAAAGTGACATCTTTAGTGTATCTCCAAAAAGACTATCAATGCACTAAAGGGGGAAAAAATGACATACCAACTTTATTAATCTTGCAAAGGCAATTTGAAGAAGAAAACATTCAAGGAAAAGTAAATCATTAACAGAAATGAATCAATTTTTTTCTTAGCATGAATATTGTTTGACATCATCTGTCTGTATTGTTTCATTATTTTAACTATTAATAATTTTATTTAGGTTGGGATTTGATTAAGACAATTTACACAAGACACAATGAGTTTACTGGTGCTAAGTCAAGATCAGTGTCAAAAACCTTGTACATATGAAGCACACTGTCAAGTAATATAGGCACAGAAATATTGATATAGGGAATATGTAAGACTATGCTAAAGAAGTTAACGTGATGTCCTGTATACACTTAAAAGTGTACTCTGTCTTGGGAAAACTTCCTTTTTTGTTGTATACTCAGTGCCTGAAAGAAAATATTAACAAAAACACCTAATTAGTTCGAATCTGCAAGAAAACTCAGTTAATAAATTTTATTTTACTAAGATTTTTTTTCAGATCACCTTTTTCTTGGCTTTATCAAATGATAATCCTTTAGCACTTAGAGCAGAAATCTTGCTCTCAATGTCTGAAACCTGATAAATAAATCATTAAATAAATAAACACACATACATACAGACAGACAGATAAATAGATAGATAGAAGCTCACCTCACTTTCTGTGCTCTGAACCTTAGCAGCTGCCAAAGCAACCTGGTCCTCCAGTTCAGAGAGCTCTGAATCAGTTAACGGGCCGCTGTAGTGATTCTTAGCATTCTGCTCAATCATTTGCAACTTTTTTGCCATTTCGAAGGACTTCCCTGCAGTCATGTACACCTGCAGTAAAAAGGAAAAAGAAAATACAGAGTTCTGAAAAAATAGCTTATAAACTTTAGTGATATAAAACCGCATGGTTATGCCATTGATATTCCAAGTGTCTAATCTCTCTCCTTTAAACAAATAAAATTGTATCTATTAGAGGGATAAGCTTACATTTTCCTCAAGTTCCCTGAAAGCATCATCAGCCTGCTTAAGATCTGTGCCCGCTAACTGAGGTCTGTCATTAGGATTTGAGGGGGCCAACTCGTTCATAGCGTTTTCAGTGGCATTAATTGTTCTTAGAATCTCAGTTGTGATGTCGCATAGGGCCGCCGCGGTGGATCTCTGAAAGCAATTAACCGAGAGGAAAGAAGCCTCATCAGCATTAAAACCCTAAAAATGACTGTAGTCAGGTATTATTGTTGCTAAGGTTATAGCTAAGTGAGGCATAAGTGTTGCTAATGCTTCACGGTCTTTAGATAAGACACTGATTAGTTATGAATATAACCCAGGGGAACAATAAACTTTTTTCAGCTGTTTCTTTGCCTATGCTTATAAAGATGCTAGTGATAAAACTAAGCTTTTTAGGATTATTAATAAAGTATTTGTGCTCTGGCATACTATAATATGAGAAACTTGTAATATGTTTTGTGACTTTTAAAACCCACTTGTATTCCACTATAGTCTGATAATGAGATACCTGAATCTGCATAAATTGTTCTACAAATAAAACATTATTCAAATATATTTTATCAGGAAAACCTTACCTTGGACAAAGACAGCATTTTTTGGCTTCTGTGGATGTTTGTGTTGTCTGAGTCCTCACCTTTTGTGCTTCAGTGGGAATTTCATCACTGGAGGAGCTCAGGGGTTCTTGGCATGTAGTGGCCATTGGTGCATGGTCCCCCCTCACAGCGGACCCTTTAGAATGAGAAGGTTTTTTCGGCTCATCCTCGTCAGAGGACAGCGCCTTGTCACTCATCAGCTCATCTAGTTTTCTCCTCAGCTTCTCCTCCTCCATCTGCCCTGCTGTGGGCTGGACAGGCTACAGACATACAAATTTAGTACTTAATATTAAAATCATGAGAGGGACCTACATGAAACCATCAGCCCAGAGGTGCCCAAACTTTTTCAGTTTGAAGGACATCTCTGCTATAGCATAATAAGATGTTCTGGAATAAATAAAAGTGTTTCTACTTATAGACTTTATTCATACCTGATCAGGAGGCAAAGTAATTTTCTCTTCCAGTCGATTTAAGAGACTCTCAATGGCATACATTCTCTTGTTCAGTTCATTGATCTACCTCACAGCAACAGAAAAAAGCAAAATTGCAGATTGATCAAATTATGAATGACACAAGGTAGTCAGACTTTTGTCAACTTAGACAGAAATATACCAACTGAATGAAAATAATCATAATCAATCATACTACAATAACAGACAAAACATGAGGTAAAACTAATCCAACCTATAATTATTTATAAAAAGGTGCAATTAAAAAAAAAGTACTTTTAAAAGATGCATTACTGTTTCTAGAATCTGTAATATTTTTAATGAACCAGTTTCATATGCTCACCAAGGCTGCATTTATTTGTAATATTGTGTACAGTAATATTGTGAAATTTAAAACACTGTGTTTCTCTCTTTTTTTAATATATTACAAAATGTAGTTTATTCCTGTGTTGGCAAAGTAGTATTCAGTGTCACATAATTCTCCAGAAATGATTGTAATATGCTGATGTGGTGCTAAGTAACATTTCTTATTATCACAGCAGGTTATAAATGGTTGCACTGCTTAACATTATTTTATAGAATCTGTGATGCATTTTTATTTCAAAATTCTTCAATGAATAGAAAGTTCAAAGGAACAGCATTTATTTCAAATAGAAATTCTTGTAACAGTCTTTACTGTTACTTTATTCCTTACTGAATAAAAATATTAATTTCTTAAAAAATAAATCTTACTGACCCAAAACTTTTTATCAACAGTGTATGTTTAAAATCTTGTACATCCACATGAGCTGAATAACCAAGTCATATCAGTACCAGTCAAGGGGTTGCCTTGTTGAAATCACATGATCAGCTGAAAACTGCTCATTTTGCCTCAGAAACCTCCCTATCATTAAATAATTCCTCTAACTGTGAATAGAGCATTTCTCCAATGGTAGCTCAACAAAGAAAATATTGTGCACTTTTATGAATTATTAAATGTAAAATGTGAAGAAAGTCCCTTAATCTCTGATCATACCGGTGGTGCGCTCTGATGAATGTTTTCCTGAGATGATGCTCGACTGCGGCGTCGTGGGGGCAGCTGGTAGACAGGGTATCGGAACATATCGTCCTCTTCTGAAGTATCCAGGTAAATCTGGCGTGGAGCCACAGAGGAGTTGATTTTAGAGAGCGAGCGAGCGCGTACCATTCTGTGTTCAGAGTGCATGCCTTCATCTAAAACAAAAATCAAGGGGACAAATAAGCTAATCTGTTTAATACCATTTAAAGATGAAAATCAATCAAAGATCCCCTGCTGACTGTCCAGATTGTTTTGGTGACGATAAGATTTCTCAAGATTTATGTTTATATTAAAACAAAAATACATAACATATAAATATATAGTAAATATGTATTTAATTACAATGTTTGTTTATTTAAATAAATAAAAAGCATTTAAATATGTAAAATACATTGTCTGAAAACAAGTTTTGAATTAATATACATTCACATATGGTGTATATATTTGTGTGTGTGTGTGTGTGTGTGTGTTACAGCATAATGCTACTCACATTAAATCTTGCTAAAAGGACATTTAGATATCTTTACTCTAAAACTAGAACAAAATTATTTTAACAGTGCAATATTTTAGGCACAGGCAACATTAATTGTCTTTCTGTATAATGTGAATATTTTGTGCATAACAAATCTGTTTGGACTGAAATCTTAAATTCCAGTTCCCTTTCAGTCGGTCACTCTCGACATCACATTGGTGATGACCGACGAATTGGGATCTCACCAGAGAGACCAATCCACTTTGAGTGTAACTAAACAATTCAGATTTCGCATCTGGCTGCCACACCCCCGCAGCGTTAATTCATCTTTTTGCTTCAGAGCAGAGCGGTGGTGCATCACTACTGCTCTCCTCTTCGAGTGATTGCAAGAGCGAGTGTGGGCATTACGGCGTTGCAGCGGTGGTCGCAGTCTCACGGAGAGAAAGTAAAAGATCGTCTTTCATGCAGACAGCCACACTTGGAGTGTGCGGTGGCCAGTTCCCTTGCGTGCTTCAGCACTATTAGAGCAATCTTTAAAAGAGCAACACGGGTGATCGCATCTTTTTAAAGATGTCTTATCACCCGTGCGTTTCTGGATGCGGTCTCTATTTCTATTTGTGGGAACATGACCATCTCGGAGTTGCATGAAAGACTCCGTTACGTCAAACTTGGCGGGGTCCCTCTGTCACGATCCAGTGTTTGTCCCGGAAATCGGGGCGGCGCTACGTCCGGTGGAGTCAGAGGTGATTTGAGGATCATGGTGATGGCTTCCCCAGAGGGAGTTCGTCACCCCTCAAGCACTCCGCAGCCGGTGGAGCGGCCAGAGGGGCGCGCTGGCCTCTCTACAGGATGGAAGGAGCCGGCCGTTTCCTTCAGTTCACCCCCTCGAGACCAGATATCGATCGCTGCATCGGAGGGCGAGCTCTCTCTGGAATCCTCCACCGCGTCCCGATCCTTCGAGGCTGGATGAATGGTTTCTCGGTGGGGGTTGCGCTGGTTGTCATGCATGAGGAGCTCATAAGATCGTGAAAGGGACCTTTTAGTGCCCGAAACAAGTCTTGTAGCTCCTCCACTCTCACCACCCTCGATGGTGGGGCCGCTTTGGGGTACGTGGGCTTTCCCTCGGTGAAGTGGTCTGTGGCCATGCAAATGTGTCCAACAGCCGCTACCACTCTGCGGGGTGACCTGTGTCTCCCATCATGGGCATGTAAGTATTCATCAGGCTTAACTGGCAGTGCTTACAGAGCTTGTGGGAAGGCGGCTTCTGCCCTCCACGCCATGGCGTTACTGCAGGTCCATCAGGCCAAAGCCTGCACAAGGGTGGCCACGAACTGGCAGTTCTACATGAACTGCGTGCTGCGACGGACCTCATGCTTCGAGCGACGAAGGTGACCGCACAGTCTCTGGGCCGTGCGATGTCCACGCTAGTGGTCCAGGAGCGCCATCTCTGGCTGACATGAAGGAGCATGATAAGGTGCAGTTCCTGAATGCTCCTGTGTCACAGACCAGCCTTTTTGGCGATGCTGTCAAGAGCTTTGCCCTGCAGTTCTCGGCGGCACAGAAGCAGACTGAGACGATCAAACACATCATGCGCCGGAGGAAACCTACTGCTTCCACCCCGGCTGCAGCCCCTCAGCCTGCTCGACGCCGTGGGCGCCCCCTGCAGTTGCCCCCACTCCCACGCAGCAGCAGCAGCCTTTCACCAGGCAGCGTCGTTGACCCGGTGGCAGGCAGGATGCCCAGCCCATCCAGGTCCCCGTCAAACCCAGCGGGAAGCGCAATTGCAAGAGACCCTGAGACGGGCGACCCGGAGATGGAGGAGATTGCTCGTCGAGAGATGTTGACCACATCACTCCCTCCCCTGGAGGTGGGCCGGGAGAAGAATCTTTTGTTTCGTTTTGTTTTTGTCATCATTTCGTTTTGACCGATCTTGGATCTGCGAGTTTTGAACTGTGCGCTTCACAAGCTGCCGTTCAAGATGTTGACGCAGAAACACATTTTCGAGTGCATCTGTCCCCAAGATTGGTTTGCAGCGATCGACCGGAAGGACGCGTACTTTCATGTCTCGATCCTCCCATGGCACAGGCCATTCCTGCGGTTCGCGTTCAAGGGTCGGGCATATCAGTACAAGGTCCTGCCCTTCGGGCTATCCCTGTCGCCTCGCATCTTCACCAAAGTCGTGGAGGAAGCCCTTCTTCCTTTGAGAGAACAGGGTATACAACCGATACCGATATACAACATTAAACTCCGGCAAGAAGATAAAGTCCTTTTTTGCAAAATCATAGACATGTATTTACAAATTAAGTATAATGGGAACACAGTATAATCTTGGAGAGAGCTTTACCGTGCTGACTGCTGTAACCGAACGCGACCAGGGTTTAAAGGCTGAACGAATGACTGACAGCCACAGCGAAGAAAAGAGTTTGTGTGAACTTTAATGTAAGGACTTAAATATTAATTTGTAGCTCACATTAAGTTATTGTATGGCTTCAGAAGTAACACAGAATAATTCGCACAATCGAAAAAAAAAAAAAATCTCGGATTTGGATCGGCCCTCTCTGACCGATACCCGATCCAAGAAAAATGGCACTATCGGAGCCGATACCCGATATGAATATCGGATCGGCGCATCCCTAGACTTTATCAGGTACGACGGCGGTCCCTCTGAAATTCTTTCAGAGGCTCCTGGGGCATATGGCTGCAGTTGTGGCGGTAGTTCCTCTTGGTCAGTTTCTTTCTATGAAAACCCTTCTCCTGACTGCATTGGCCTCGATCAAGAGGGTTGGGGCCTGCAGGCATTTTCGGTCGACAAATCATGCCTTGAGTTTGGGCCGGTTGATTCCAGTGCAACACTGAGACCCCGGCCCGGCTACGTGCCTAAGGTTCCTACCACTCCCTTCAGGGACCAGGTAGTGATCCTGCAAGCACTGCCCCTGGAGGAGGCAGACCCAGCCCTAGCTTTGTTTGCTCTGTCCTGTACGCACACTGCGACAGTATGTGGATATAACTTAGAGCTTTAGGACCTCAGAACAGCCCTTTGTCTGTTACGGAGGACAGCAGAAGGGGAAGGCTGTCTCCAAGCAGAGGATGGCCCACTGGATAGTGGATGCCATCACCTTGGCCTACTAAGCACAAGGTGTGCCCTGCCCGCTCAGGCTGCGTGCTCACTCCACTAGGGGTGTTGCATCATCCTGGGCGCTGGCTCGTGGTGCCTCGCTAGCAGACATTTGTAGAGCTGCGGGCTGGGCGACCCCTAACACGTTCGCTAGGTTCTATAGACTGCGTGTCGAACTGGTTTCCTCCTGTGTTCTCACCTCAAATGGGTAGTGGCACTGAAAGGCCTTGCTCAGAGTCGGTTTGCGGCATCTTGGACACCTAGTTCTCCAGAGAGTCCCCTGACTGGGCAGACCCTGTCGAGTCCTCCAGCACTCCGGTGGCCAGACGTGGCGGAGCATCCAGCACCAGGCCTTTCAGCCAATTAATTCCTGAAATCTGGTGTGAGGCTAGTGCCCATACGAGTGACCCGGTTGTGTATTTCCACGGTACAGTTACTAAGGCTGTGTTTCCCCTGGCAGACCATGTTCTGCCGTCTCTAAATGATGCAGCCATGAGCCATCTCAGAGACTTCCATGTGCAATAGGGCCCCTCTGGGTTACTCCACGTGAGTAAATGTCAGTTAACCCCCTCTGGAAGGAGGTGACTCATCAGTGTCCTCTTCCAAATAGAAGGGGCACGCTTCCCAGTGTTATCCAAGTCCTACTGTTGGATTGCGAGGAACAGCTGTAGTCTACCTTCTCTGTGTAGAGCCGGTCCTATCATCTGCCTTATAGGAAGGATCAAGAGGCCTACACAGGGCAC